CGTGTCATGTTGATTAATTCACCTTCACATTTCATTACCGAGCTTAAAATTCACCATCTTTATTAACTTATCATGTAAGTTGCTGTTCATTCATATCCCTTACCGAAATTTCGATATTTCTTGTTTTTCTGCGTCAACTGGCATTGCCATGACCAACGGCTTCAGACATGTAGGTTTAGCCAAATTTTTACTTTTCATGAGCAGAGTTGCAGAATTAATACTTTTTTGCATTCCTCTCTCCTTTTGGACCTACATTTGAACCTCGCTATTTAAAAATCTCATGGGAAACGAAAAAAGTCTGAAACAGCGGTGGCTCGAAAAAGGCGATGGTCAAAGAATAAAAGGTTACTCCTAGGGAATTGGTTTACAGTTCGTAATAACGGGGAATTCGAAATAACCGAGTTCAAATTAGCAGGGTCCAACTGTGTTTCCAACAATTTACAATATTTTCTGACCTTTTAAATAAAAAAAAGGAAAATCGAAGATGAAGTATCCTAGAAGTCAACCAAAGATATCTCATCTTATAGAGCAAGCCGAAGGCTTTCTATGGAACTGAAATCCAGGAGAGGATTTTCATCCACCCCTTCACTCCTCAACTTGTAACTCGTTTGGATATTAGTTTGTGTGCACGTCCGAGGATTTAAGAGTGTATTATTTCCTTTGGTGATTTCCAAGGTCGAAGTTCACCATCATGGCATTGTCAACTTAATTCTATAATTTTGCAAGCAGCTTGGTTTTTTTATGACTTATAAGTAAAACAGGATCATTAGCTTAGTCGTGAGGATTTCTCGCACAGTGCAATGACTCTCTCCAACCAGAGTGTGAACAAGAACTGGTGCACTTTTACGGAAAATGAAGCCGCTGTGAGTCAACTTGGTCCGCATGACGATTTGAGCATTGTATCATTTCATGGTAACTGAGATGTATACACTAATGGCAAACTACAATGGTTGACAAAAGTCCTTGGGACACTGGTGCAATGCAACGAATTACCTGTGTCTTACAACTGAAGTTTGAAAAAGCATTGCTATCCTTTTAAAACGCGTTGCTGCCCCCCCTCCCCCCTCCCCACTCAAAACAATGTCGAAAGTAAGGAGAAATATTACGGGTACTAGTTTTCNCCCCCCCCCCACCTTCCCACGCATTGCAAACTTGAAACTCGGGAAAAATTGCAAGTGCTATTTCTCAAAATTGTATGTGGGGTGGGGGGACTATTGGTTTGGCTGTGTGCAAAAGCGAAAAAAGTGCGAACTTGTCATAGGACTTTTGTCCATGACTGTACCTTTCTACTCATTTAAATGTTGACTGTTACTTTTCTTGCAGATGTACCCAAGTCGTTTATGGTCAACGCCGTTCCATCGGGCTGCAGTGCTCAGCTGTCCTGGGACACTCCCTCGGTTAGCAGCTGCCCAATAACTCGATACACGATCCACTATAGGAATTCAAGGACCAGTTCAAGTGAAACCGGTGCGTGGCTAACAACTATCTTGAATGAGCCAGACATTAATAAACATCGCCTTTGGTTGAATTGTAGCAAGAAGTATGACATCATGGTTTTTGCATGGAATCAACGAGGGCACAGCGACTTCAACGAGAAATCGGTTGTATCTGTTCTAACTGACACAGGTACCGAATTCTCTCATGATAACGCAAAACTAATGATATATGTGGCATTGTTTAAGGTGGCAAAATTTAAATACGAAAGGTTTGAAGAAACTAGAAACTAGATAGAGAAAATAATACAACACGAGAATAACAGCATCTACTTTTTCGTAACGAATTCCAGCACAAAAGTAAGATTTACTCGATGCTGCAAGTTACAGTCAGGCGACTACATAGATTTTTGTCATTCAATCATTCACAGGGAAGCGAAATGCCAACTGGAAGCCTTTGTTATTATTTTAGAAATCTTAAGTCAAATTTCCTTGAAGCAATTCGTCAATATCAGACATAGTTTTGTCTTCGCCATTGTCTACAAATTAGGGAGCAACGTAGTAGTATTGTAATAGCAGAAGAGGCAAAACAAAAATTTTAGGACAGTTGTCAGGAGCCACTTAAAAAAGTAGGTCAGAGGTCACGCCCTTTAAATTTGAGTTCCGTCTGAGAAATCGTGCTCTTTAGCTCTTCAGTGCCAACGTTCAGATCCTATAGACATGTGGGCGTGGTGTGTAACATTCGCAAATAAATTGCCAAAAGTAGTATCTTAGGATTGCATATACTCCAGTGATAAAGAGTGACGTAAATTTGGCTTGCTGCTTTCGTCTCGTGGACAATATTTCCAACAGACGTGTAACAGGATGCCATTTTTTTTTATCGTGGTTCCAAAATCGCTGCAATTGCACAGTCAAGTAAGTTGGAAATAAAGTAAAATAAGATTCTTTTGCCCCCTGTTTGATAGGTGTTCCGTTTAAACCGTTGCTGGAAATCAAAAAGAAGCAATGTGGCACGCTTGAAGTCATTTGGGCGCCATCAACCTTAGATTCTGGCGGAGGCCCGGTGACTGGTTTTCTAGTCCAGTTGAGAAACAAAGATCATGATTGGCTTAACTGTACAACCTTCCCTACAAAACAAAGCTGCTTGTTTAAATATCTTCTAAGCGACACCGACTACGATATCCGCGTTCAAGCTGTGAACCAAAAAGGGTGGAGTGATATGACAAACGCAACAATAAAGACGGCTGTTACAGGTGTGTTAATTCCCAACACTGTGTAGCAACAGCATAAATAAGGTATTGTTGCTTCGTAGCTGGTTGGCTAGCTGGTTGGCTAGCTGAACGAATCGATTGAATAATTTTCCATGAATGTATCGACTATTGATCGATGGAAGTATCAAGAGAGATTTAGCAATGAACCAGCCCACGCACCTTTCTAAGTGAATACATATTGTGTTCTCAGGCTCAATGGTGCCGATGCACCATTTCGCTCATTGCGTATAATATTTGTTTAGCCACACACCAAAGAATCTCCTTTTCTTATAGGATCACCTGAATCACCTAGGATTCTAAGCAACCAGTCAGAAATCACTGCAAGAAATGTTACAGTGAAGTGGACAAGGCCGTTGGATAAAGGATGCAGGATTACCATGTACTCAATTTACTACACAGTGATTGAGCCAATTAAAGAAAAATCAAGAGAAATAAACATCACCGATGCAAGTGTCACCAGTTACGTACTGCACCTTCAGTACAGTAAGACGTACCGGGTGGTGGTTTTGGCCTGGAACGATCTGGGACGCAGTTTACAAAGCAACACATGGCAAGTGAAGACAGCCCAAGGTAAGAAAAATGGGAGAAATTCGCATTGTCAGTTGATCGCTGTATCCGTTCTCTTAGATGATCCTCTTCAATATATTAATTAACAAGAAATGCTATCATTTTGTGGATGTGTGCTCTGTATATTAGAGGAAGAGAGCTGACTTAAATGGTCACGCACTCTACCATACAACTAACCTTCCTACCAAATCTCACCCACTCTCGGCATCAAAATTCCCCCAAACTATTAACTGAGCTTGAAAAAAGGTTATTTTTTTGGTTGATTTTGATAACTATACATTCTATCCTAAATGGGAACGTACGTTACGTGCCTCAAACTGAAAACTCACATCGCTTTTGACAGATGTTCCTTATCATCCGACCATGCGTGAGGCCATTCTTGAAGAGTGTAACTCAGTCAACGTAACGTGGAGTCCACCGACACGTGAGGCATTGGGTGATCCTGTGACCAGCTATTTAGCACAAATACGACGATCAGGATCTCAAAACCCTTGGATGAACTGTACATCTTTGACAAATCAGCAGTCGACTTCTTGTTTGTTTCCACATCTGGAAAAATACCCGGACTACGAAGTGAGAGTACTGGCTAAAAACAAAGTTGGATACAGTTTGCCATCGGGGATTCTCAGAGTTTCAATGAAAGAAGCAGGTATGTTTTGTTACAGATTCCTCATTGAGCAATACTGGAGCTTGAAGGGTGAGATTCGTCACTACGACAATTCTGTTCAAACAGTGTCTTATGCCTTATTTGCATATTAACTTACAGGCGACCGAAAATCGACGAAATACTATCGGTCTTATCATCAAGAAAATTTCTTTTCTTGCAGCATCAGATAGTAAGATGCCACAAAATGACATCAAAGACAGGAAGTAGAATGCCAGGAATCTTGATCAGGTTATGTTAATTACTTTTAGCGTTGGCATTCTAATATATCCTATATATTTTCAGACTTCCCAGGTAGGCCACAAATAGTTGACTGGAAAGCGACAGAATGTAATGTCATTTTAAAGTGGATTCCACCGCAACCAAATGATTGTCCAATACTCTTCTACACAATCAGTTACCGAAAACAAGAAACAACTGGTGATGCCAAGGAGTGGACTGCAATCAATATTACAGATCCAACAGTCAATCATCATGAGTTTATGTTGAATTGTACAACTACTTATGAGTTTCAGGTCACTGCCTGGAACGAGCTGGGTGGTCTTCTTTCTTTGGTATCATCGACAACAACGGACGGTTTTGCTGCGAAGGATGATATAGAAGACGTATCAACATCAAGTAATGACATGTCATTTGTTTTCATGAGATTATCCTCACAAGGACAAATCTTTGAGTTTTAAGTATGTATGTTTTGAACAGACAGAAATCAAAAACAAAATTAAATAACCTCTAGGGAGTTATACCTAGATTCCTGATCTAATTTTCTCATACTTGTAGGTTCTTCAATAATGAATAACACACTGATAATAGTCCTCCTGGTCGTCTTTATCGCTCTGGTTGTCGTCCTGCTATTCATTGTCGCTAGGCGTTGCCGAAGGAAGGAACAGCGCAAGCCAAAGAGGTGTGTTTAAGGTTTTTGCTTAGATAACAGCTCCTTTTCATTGATTTCATCTGTGATATAAACAAGTGTACCGTGAGCTTGTTTAGTTTATAACTTTTAAGCAGCAATTCGATTTTAGGCCAGGAGACTATGGATGCTTCCATTATGCCAGACCGACCGGTCAGAGACCAGTAGGAATACCCGAGGAAAAATGGAACGACACTTCCGATCAAACCAGGCCAACCCCGGGCCAAAGGAATGACTCACCATTTTTATTCCTTTTACGAATGCCCTACAAAAGTGAAATCTAGAGAAGAGAAGTAGGGCAATGAACCGGTCCGACCGATTAGAGTGGACCACCTCCCGAGGTGGTCCCGAATATTCCGGTCGGAACGAACCGAAATGGACCTTCCAACCGAAATTTCCCGAATCTTTGGCATAATGAAAAGCACCCAATACTAACATAAACTATTCGTTCTGATAAAGGACTGTGAAGGATATTCTTATCCTGGAAAGGTGCGAAATTCATCCAATCAGAACGGAGTTCGTCGAAGAACTGGGAGAAGGAGCGTTTGGAAAAGTTAACAAAGCCACCCTGAAAGAAGGCTTGGAATTCTTTAATGACAAGATGGACTTTGTTGATAAGAGTAAGAAGCCAAAAATGGTTGCGGTCAAAGAACTACATGGTGAGTATGAGCTACTTAGTAACATATTCACATCAGTTACCGTACACTGAATGAACAATCTGGATGTTATATGACTCGTCGCTGCAGTCCTTAGGTTTTTTTATCTGCGTATGTATGTCCGCGTTTGTCTCTAAAGTAGTTTTTCTAGCAGAGTTCAAAAAATATTTTTTAAATCATATTTAGTATCCAATCAGTGTTCACAACACTTGCTGTGACTGGTTGAAAATAGTTTAAAGGTTCTGGTTGTAACACAGATAAAGCTGTTGGTTCATATATGTTAACTTTGAAAGTACATCCGCTTTCTTGCGTTACATACTCAACATTTTTTCCTGGTTTAAGTCCAATCCTTTATTCAAAATTTTGAAGGAAAACTATCATTCGAGCATGCAGCACTGCGTACTTCAACTTTAGGTTTTGAAATGCGTATGGAGAAAGCATTTACTGAACCGAAACTAAAACTATCAATCCTGTCTACGAAATATTTGAGCCTACATGTTTTGTAGCCATGTCTATTCAACAACTTTCATTGTATCTCTAATAACAACTACGAAGTAATGATGATCTAACATCTTTCGTTACAAAGAAAATGCCACTGAAGAGCAGCGACGAGAATTTCTGGATGAGATAGACCTCATGAAGAAAGTTGGAAAACATCAGAATGTTTTAAGTTTCCTTGGCTGTTGGACCACTGCTAAACCACTTCTTCTGATTATTGAGTACGTTCCCCATGGCGACTTACTTCATTGGTTAAGACGTAAGAGAAGCGAGGTAAGACTAATGAACGTTAAACTCATTATTTATGTATGTTATTGTCTACCTGTGTAAAAATGGATTCACTCTCTTAGAATATCACGAAATTTTCGGCACGAAAGTTATAAATATGTTCTTGAGCATATTTGGGCGGGACGGTCAGTTTTATTTACTGTATAGAATGATCGATGCTTTTTATCCAATTGTCCTCATTCGCATTTCTGGGTGGCAAAATGATAATGAGCTCATACATTCTCGGTAGAATTTTGACAATTTTTTATTATGCCAGCGTAGCAATAAGTATGCAATAAACCGGCCTCGAATTCCTTGGAACTTGTAATCATGCTATGCTTTTTCAGTATTCAGAAATGATATTTTGCCCCTTTTTGGTGGACTGGTAGACTGGTGGACTGGTAGACTGGTAAACTGGTGGACTGGTGGACTGGTGGATTGGTGGACTGGTGGACTGGTAGACTGGTAGCCTAGTGGACTGGTGGACTGGTAGACCGGTGGAAAATTTCACCAGTGGACTGGTGGACTGGTAGATTGGTGGCCTGGTGGACTGATGGATTGGTGGACTGGTGGACTGGTAGATTGGTGGCTTGGTGGACTGATGGACTGGTGGATTAGTGTACTGGTGGCCTGGTGGACTTGTGGACTAATGGCTTGGTGGACTGGTGGCCTGGTGGACTGGTAGATTGGTGGCTTGGTGGACTGATGGATTGGTGGACTGTTGGACTGGTGAACTGGTAGATTGGTGGACTGGTGAACTGGTGGACTGATGGACTGGTGGATTGGTGTACTGGTGGCCTGGTGGACTTGTGGACTAATGGATTGGTGGACTGGTGGACTGGTGGACTGGTAGATTGGTGGCCTGGCGGACTGATGGATTGGTGGACTGGTGGACTGGTAGATTGGTGGCTTGGTGGACTGATGGACTGGTGGATTAGTGTACTGGTGGCCTGGTGGACTTGTGGACTAATGGCTTGGTGGACTGGTGGCCTGGTGGACTGGTAGATTGGTGGCTTGGTGGACTGATGGATTGGTGGACTGTTGGACTGGTGAACTGGTAGATTGGTGGACTGGTGAACTGGTGGACTGATGGACTGGTGGATTGGTGTACTGGTGGCCTGGTGGACTTGTGGACTAATGGATTGGTGGACTGGTGGACTGGTGGACTGGTAGATTGGTGGCCTGGCGGACTGATGGATTGGTGGACTGGTGGACTGGTAGATTGGTGGCTTGGTGGACTGATGGATTGGTGGATTGGTGTACTGGTGGCCTGGTGGACTTGTGGACCGGTAGATTGGTCGCCTGGTGGACTGATGGATTGGTGGACTGGTGGATTGGTGGATTGGTGGACTGGTGGACTGGTAGATTGCTGGCTTGGTGGACTGATGGATTGGTGGACTGGTGTACTGGTGGCCTGGTGGACTGGTAGATTGGTGGCTTGGTGGACTGATGGATTGGTGGACTGGTGGACTGGTGGACTGGTAGATTGGTGGCTTGGTGGACTGGTGGACTGGTGGACTGGTGGACTGGTAGATTGGTGGCCTGGTGAACTGATGGATTGGTGGCCTGGTGGACTGGTAGATTGGTGGCTTGGTGGACTGATGGATTGGTGGAGTGATGGATTGGTGGACTGGTGGACTGGTAGATTGGTGGCTTGGTGGACTGATGGATTGGTGGACTAATGTACTGGTGGCCTGGTGGACTTGTCGACTGGTAGATTGGTGGCCTGGTGGACTAATAGATTGGTGGACTGGTGGCCTGGTAGATTGGTGGCTTGGTGGACTGATGGATTGGTGGACTGGTGTACTGGTGGCCTGGTGGACTGGTAGATTGGTGGCTTGGTGGCTTGGTGGACTGATGGATTGGTGGACTGGTGGATTGGTGGACTGGTGGACTGGTAGATTGGTGGCTTGGTGGACTGATCGATTGGTGGACTGGTATACTGGTGGCCTGGTGGACTGGTAGATTGGTGGCTTGGTGGACTGATGGATTGGTGGACTGGTGTACTGGTGGCCTGGTGGACTGGTAGATTGTTGGCTTGGTGGATTGGTGGACTGGTGGACTGGTGGACTAATCGCTTGGTGGACTGGTGGACTGGTGGACTGGTAGATTGGTGGCTTGGGGGATTGGTGGATTGGTGGATTGGTGTACTGGTGGCCTGGTGGACTTGTGGACTAATGGATTGGTGGACTGGTGCACTGGTGGACTGGTAGATTGGTGGCTTGGTGGACTGATGGATTGGTGGACCGGTGTACTGGTAGATTGGTGGCCTGGTGGACTTGTGGACTAATGGATTGGTGGACTGGTGTACTGGTGGCCTGGTGGACTGGTAGATTGGTGGCTTGGTGGATTGGTGGCTTGGTGGATTGGTGAACTGGTGGACTAATCGTTTGGTGGACTGGTAGATTGGTGGCTTGGGGGATTGGTGGATTGGTGGATTGGTGGATTCGTGGATTGGTGTACTGGTGGCCTGGTGGCCTGGTGGACTAATGGATTGGTGGACTGGTGCACTGGTGGACTGGTAGATTGGTGGCTTGGTGGACTGATGGATTGGTGGACCGGTGTACTGGTAGATTGGTGGCCTGGTGGACTTGTGGACTAATGGATTGGTGAACTGGTGTACTGGTGGCCTGGTGGACTGGTAGATTGGTGGCTTGGTGGATTGGTGGACTGGTGGCCTGGTGGACTTGTGGACTAATGGTTTCGTGGACTGGTGGACTGGTAGATTGGTAGATTGGTGGCCTGGTGGACTTGAGGACTAATGGTTTGGTGGACTGGTGGACTGGTGGACTGGTAGATTGGTGGCTTGGTGGACTGATGGATTGGTGGACTGGTGGCCTGGTGGACTTGTGGACTAATGGTTTGGTGGACTGGTGGACTGGTACATTGGTAGATTGGTGGATTGGTGGACTGGTGGACTAATGGTTTGGTGGATTGGTGGACTGGTGGACTAGTAGATTGGTGGCTTGGTGGACTGATGGATTGGTGGATTGGTGGCCTGGTGGACTTGTGGACTAATGGATTGGTGGACTGGTGGACTGGTGGACTGGT